ATCCCTAGTTGGGATGATTTCAAATTGCGACTGGTACCACTAAGGATTATGCGAACACAGAAGAAGACGATGCTAACGCATATTAGAAAAGATTCTCTCCAGTTAATGGCACGAGGCATGTTGTGTGTCTGCACAGGTTCTTGTCAAACAAGAGCAAAACTCTAAGAAGCTTTTGGGGAAGCTGGGTACAAAGACTTCAGAGCTGCCTGACATAGAAGACTGCAGTAAGTCTCCTCCCCTTCAGACCTCTCAGATGTCTGTGTAGTCCTGAAATTAAAAGTATCTTTCTATATGTGAAGCGAACAGTGTAACATGTCCCCTGTGTCCCTCGGAGCCCTGGGATGATGAGCTGGGTGTTCAGAACTTCCCCAGAAAGCCGTCGAAGAAGCCGCCCCGGGTGGAGCGAACTCTTACCTGTGTGGTGAAGAGGCCTGGAGATGATGGGGAAGAAAGGTTCCTGCTCATACAGAGGCCGAGCAAAGGTTAGCACTGATTGCAACATCAGCTCGTGCTGGTCAAGCGTTGGATGCAGAATGTGCACAATTGTATCCTGATAACGAGACTTGCTCGAATCACTGAGAAAACTGTTAGTGTTAGGAGTGATGCATTGGTTTGGATGCAGGCTATAATTTTGGTGGATGTCTCAGTCATTGTGCAGCTTGATTCAAACACACATAAAAAACGGTAAAAGTCAGTAAATCTGTCTGGGTGGGCTGCAGGTTTGTTGGCAGGCTTGTGGGAGTTTCCAAGTCTTCTGCTTGAGGTTGAAAACTCTGAGAAGAAACAGAAGGGGGCGCTCTGCGAGGAAATCAGCAGAATACTGGGAACGCATTTAACTGGAAACCTGTTCCAGTATGTGGGAGAGGTAAGCTGCAGCTGTCATCTGCCTCTAATAGGAAATAAGCTGTTTGTGTAACTCTGCTGCACTGGTTGGCTGTTTGCAGGTTGTCCACATCTTCTCCCACATCCACCAGACTTATGTGGTTTACAGTGTGTGTTTAAAGGAGAGGGACACACACACACTGACTGGAAACACACAGTGGCTCACTAGATCTGCTCTACAGGGAGCTGCTGTGTCCACAGGACTGAAAAAGGTTTGTGGTTGTTTTTTTATGCACTGAGTGAATTCTGTCTGTGCAGCAATAACAGTGCACTTGATTGTCACTTAGAGAAAGCATGCTATGACAACCTGCCTTTACCTTTCCAAATATATATTGGATATAGTGAAA